TCCGCCCCTTCCTGCTGGTGGCTTCCCAGCGTGGCGTCCGCCTTTACCACCTGCTGCGCCAGGAGCTCACCAAGAAGCTGAGACCGAACTGCAAATGGGTGTCCAGCCTGGCGGTGCACCCCGCAGGTGAGGGTGTTGGGGGGGGGGTGTTGGGGGGGGTTGTTGGGGGGGAGCGTGCACCCCACAGGTCCTCACGACCCCATCTGCTCCCAGGGGACAATGTCATCTGTGGCAGCTATGACAGCAAGCTGGTGTGGTTCGACCTGGACCTTTCCAGCGAGCCGTACAGGGTACTGAGGTGAGGCGCCTATGCGGGTGTGGGTGCTGGCCTGTCCCTCCCCTGCCCTAGCTTGCCCTCACCCAGCCCCCGCCCTGCAGGCACCACAAGAAGGCCCTGAGGGCTGTGGCCTTCCATGCCCGGTACCCGCTCTTTGCATCTGGCTCCGACGACGGGAGCATCATCGTCTGCCATGGGATGGTGTACAAGTGAGTGCTAGACCTGCCCCGCCCCCCGCCGCCGCCTGGGGGCTGCGCTTCCCTGACCCGAGTCCCTCTCCCCTCCCCCACAGTGATCTGCTGCAGAACCCACTGCTGGTGCCTGTGAAGGTGCTGCGGGGGCACACGCTGACCCGAGACCTGGGCGTTCTGGACGTGGCCTTCCACCCCACCCAGCCGTGGATCTTCTCCTCCGGGGCCGACGGCACTGTCCGCCTCTTCACCTAGGCCACCCTGCGTCCCCAGGCGCACGTGTGTTCGGGACCCTTAATAGAGGTGTTCGTTCTCCCTGCTGACCAGTGGTGTGACCTTGACTTGGGCTTCCTGACCAGCTCCCACCCCCCCACCCCATAGCTTGGGGCCTTTTTCGCCTGGTGCGCAGGGGCACCCCACTGACCCACCCCACAAGGGCAGGCTACGTCCTGGCACGCCTACGCCAGCTGCTGAGGAGCGGATGGCTTTATTGGAAACCAGGGGTTACAGCAGCTTGCCTGCCCTCCCGGCCTCCATTCCTTGTCTGGAATGGCAGGGGTTGGACCCTTGGTAGCAGGGAGCTCCTCAGGGCCCCATCGTGGGGGTTCAGGCGCAGACCCGGGCTGGCACTGCCGCGGGAGCCTCAGGCGAACTTGACCAGGCGCCCCAGGGTCTCGGCAGCCTTCGCGCGCACCAGGGGGGCTGGGTCCTTGAGCAGGAGCTGCAGCGCTGGGGGACGGGGAGCCACTATCAGGGTGTCCCGGCCCCGCCCCCTTCCCGGTGCCTGGAGCCTGGGGGGCCAGGACCCCATGGTGCACCCCCGCCTTGTGCGGGGGGCCACCCGCCCACCGCCCTCCTAAGACAGGCCTCTGCCGGGAGCGCCTGGGAGCCAACGGAAAGATAGTTTTTCCTTTTTTAGTGTTTTTTAAGCTCTTTTGGAACAGTTAAGAAGTTTCCGTGAATTACTAGAGACGATGAGGTCACCAGTGACAGGGGAAAAATCCTTGAAATCCAGGAAAATCACTTAGTCCCCTGGTGCCCACAGGTCAGGGAGGCCCCTTACAGGCGGCAGGTTGGGGGGGGCGGGGCCGGGTCGGGGCTCAGCAGCCAACAGGTTGGGGGGGCGGGGCCGGGGTGGGGCTCACCTGCCGTGATCTGCTCCAGGTCCACCTGTGGCTGGTGCTCCGGCTCTGCGTGCAGTACCAGGAACCCTGCGGCAAGGGCAGGGCAGGGTCAGGGTAGGGCAGGGGCTCACACAGGTAGAAGGGGACGGTGGGGCAGGGCTCACCCATGAGCATGGGGGCGGCAGCACGGACGTCCTCCCAGCTGCTCTTGAAGTAGAAGAGGCTGGTGGCCGCCAGGCGGCCCAGCAGTTCCGGGAAGTGGTACATCTGCACAGAAGGCCTTCGGTCTCGGTCCCGGGCCCCCGGCCCCCTCCCCGGTACCCAGTGCACCCCACCCTCACCAGGAGCTTGCAGGTGGCGTTGAGGAACTCCCCGAAGTGCAGGCCCCGGCCCTCCTGTAGGTGCTTCTGGAAGACGGCCGCCAGCTCTTCATGCTGCAGGTTGGGGCCGCACAGGCGCAGGGCGAACCTGCAGGCCTGCAGGGCGTGAACTTGAGTCCCGGACCCGTGAGCGGGGCCCGGCTCGCTCGTCCCCGCCGGTGACTCACGTTGGTCACAGGGGCTTGGGGATCCTGCAGGTGCAGCAGCAGGGGCACCAGCCCAGCAACAACCTGCTCCAGGAAGACGTCTTCACAGCCCCCGTGGCACACCTGGTTGAGGTGCCCGAAGAGGCGGATGGACGCAGAGCGGAGCTCCGTCTTCTCCTGGTGGGGTGGGGTGGGGTGGGGTGGGGCGGGGCGGGGCGGGGTGGGGCAGGGTGGGAGGGCAGGTGTCAGCCAGCGCGGGGCTTCGGGCCCCCTCCCTGGGCCACCCTCCTTGTCCCTGTGGCACGGGCGCCTGGGGACTGACCGAGACAGGCTGGCATGGGGAGCAGCTCCAGGCTGAGACCAGCCCTGAGCTCTAGGGGTGGGGTGGAGGTGGGGGTGCCACGGCCTGCGGGGGCCCGGGGAGCAGGCTCCAGGCCGCCTGGCAGGGGTGGGGGGAGGGGGGAGGCCGACCGGCCTGTCGGAGCCCCTGCACCCTGCCCGGCCTACGCTGTCGAAGAAGGGCCGGATCCGGATGGCAACGTGCAGCAGCACGGAGCGCAGGTCCTGGCGCTTCACCAGCTCCAGGAGCCTTGCCAGGCCCACCATGGCCTCCAGGGCCACCAGGCTGTGAGGGTCGTCCCTGTCGTCCAGCCCGCCGATCATGGCTGTCAGGAGCTGGGGGCCGTGGGCCTGCACCTGGGGGTGCCCCACACTCAGCTGTCACGGGGCCAGGGGGACTCGCCTCCCCACCCCGCAGGCTCGCCCCCACTGTGCTGCTCAGTGGGCCACCTCCCTGAAGGTCCCCGCTGCCCACACGGTGTCTGTCTGGGTCTCCCTGCCCACCGCGGCTCTTCTGTCCCTAAGCCACAGGCAGGGCAGCGGGGGCTGGAGGGGGCGGGGTGCGGTGACTGCCCTGCCCACTCACCTTCTCCGGGGAGCTGGAGGCGATGTTGGCCAGGCCTCGCAGCACCAGCCGCCGCACGCTGGCACTCGTGTCCTTCTGCCGCGCTGCCAGGTTGTCCAGCAGCGACTCCAGAAGCATCAGGTCGTTCACCACGTTGCTGTTGAGCAGCTGAAGGCAGAGGTGCTGTGACCACCTGCCACTGACCCTCCCCAAGCCCCCTCCCCCACCCCCAGGGCTCGCCCCAGCCCGGCCGGTCCGGGCTGCCTCTGCAGCGGCGCCTGCTCCCCGCCACCGGGCAGCTCACACGCACGAGGAGTGGACGTGGCAGAGGCCAACTCAGGGCCTCCCTTGGTTCTCTCCAGTTCCTGACCCTGGCCACACCCCAGCTCCCAATGCTGTGGCCTTTGGGCAAGTCTTGGCATTGTCGGCCACAAGGGGGCATCCAAGGGAGGCTCGGGCCTTGTGGCTGCTGGTGCGTCCCCCCTGAGGGCCCAGCACAGACCGCACAGCCCAGGCCTCCACTGAACAGAGTGGGATTGTCACCAGGCCTGGCCTGGCGGCCTCTGGACCCAGCAGCGCCAAGCGGGAACTGGGCGATGGCCCTGGCTGGGGAGGCCGGTGCGTGCCTGTGTGGAGGGGGCTTCCTTCCCCACCCTCCCAGGCCCTCAGCAGATCGGAACAAGTGACAAGTACCTCGGCCAGGAACGCCGTGGAGGTGACCCTCTGGATCTCATACACACTGCTCTGTGTGCACACGAGCGCCTTCATCACCAGGGGCAGCCGGGGGCCTGCACACTTGGCCATGGCGCTGTGGAAGGAGGCCACACAGCACAGGTGCTGGGACCTCGGGCTGCTCCGAAGCCACCCAAGCCAACGTGGACCCAAGGGGTTGCCCCCACCTCCCAGCCCGCTTGGTCAAGGGCCCTGGCCCTTAAGGCCCTCGCCCCAGGTGCTGAACCCTGAATAGCCTCCCTCCCTAGTATCCTAGCCCACCTCACCAGGCCTCCGTAGAGGGGCCTTCCCGCTGCCCCCCACCCCGAGACTGTCAACGTGGCCAGAAGCTCAGAGCTGCGTTGGAGGCCTCTCCGCTTCCACGCACGTGCCAGAGGCCCCAAGCTGGGCTCACTGGCTCCCAGGTGCCCCTAAATATCTGCTGTCAGAGAGCCTGGCCTACTGTGCCTCAGCGGTGCTGGAGCCTGTGTGCAGGGGCACGGCCCCCTTACCTGGCCAGCCGGGTGACCCCCTCCTCGTGTCCTGCTGAGGTCCTGAGCAGCTGCCAGCCCCCCTCCAGCTCCACACGCCGCACCACGTCCTCATTACCCCCCCGGAGCAGCATAGCCTGCAGAGCATCCACCGCGCAGCTGCGGGACACGCGGGGGTGGGTTTGGGGGGCGGGGTGAGGGCGGCAGAGGCCCCGTGTGTCCCTCTGCTCCGTACCATACGCACAGACCCGTGCTCTTGGGGAGCAGCCTCCCCTCCTCTCTGGTCTCAAGCTGCTGAGACATCTGGCCACCCATCCCCCACGATGGGCAGCGTCCCCAAGACCCTCTGGAAGCAGGCAGGGCCCTCCGGCACTTTTAGGGTAACAACCAACAGCTTTTGTCCCTTGCTTTAAAGACCTTCATTAATTAAACTAAGACAAGAAGAAAAAGAAAACAAAATCATTAACAAAAATGAACCCAAGAGACAGATCGGCGTCTGACTCTTCTTGCCTGGGCAGCACGGAGCCTTCGGATGAGTGCCTGGGAAACCCAGTGTCGGTGGGCAGGGCGGAGCAGGGTCTCCAAAGGCCTGGGGCTGTGACTGCACCACAGACGTGTCCGGCCTCAGACATGCCCGACACCCTGAGAATCAGGCTCTGTTCCTGCACCTAAGTCCCCTGCTTTCGCGTGCGCACAGCCACACCCACCCTGGGACACCCCGGAGCCCAAGGAGGGGACCACAGATGGGGCTCTGTGCCAGTGAGGAAGGGCCTCCCACCTGGGAGCCAGGATGTGCCCGGCTCCCTCTAGAAACTCGGCCAGGGCTGGGCTGACCCTGCTGCTGTGCCTGCTCCCACAGCCCTGCCAGGCACTTGGCTCTCCTGTCTCCCCGGTTGGTGGGGGCTGCGCCCACGGGGCCCAGCTGGGGCACGCGGGGCTGGCGGCGGGCAGGCCGCAGGGGCACGGCCCATGGTCCCGGGTCGGGGGTGGGGGGTTGGGGGGTGGGGAGCAGCATCGGTCTGGCACCCGGGAGAACCTCACACCAAAGCCCGAGGCCCGAAGAGAGCTCGTCGGGGCTCTCGGAACCCCACGTGGGGAGCCTTGGGGCCACAGCAGCCCTGGCCCGGTGTTGACCTCGCCCCTGCGAGTGGCCACCTCTCACTCCAGGCCTCACGCCGGCCTCCAGATGCGTGTGGCCCCGCACCGCCGGCCCTGGGAGCTCCCGGCCCAGGGTGGACGCTTGACCTGATGCGGCCAGCAACCGAGGAAGGGGCATCCACCAGGTGGCCTGCCTTTGACCAAGACGGCTCATTTAGGGCGATTTTTGGCTACAGCCAATCTAAAGTGGGGAGATGCAGGTTTGGCTGAGAAGGCGCCTCCCTGGCTCGTCCACCCCGCTGCCCGGAGCTCTTACGGATGCGGCCCGTACCGTGGCCTGACGGGCCTCCTCTACCTGCGCCTGGCTCTGCGCACGTCTCAGCTCAGGGGGTGGCAGCCCAGGGACCCCGCTGAGGGCTCACGAGCCGTGGCGTGCAGTCCGGGCGGTGTCTGCCAGCGCATTCGCATTTTCTGCTTGGTCTGCGCAGAGCCGGGCGGGCTCCGGGCTCCGGCACGCGGCCCCTCCC